TTTTGTCACTCTTCACGTAAACCTGTTGGAGGTCCTCAATAATTTGCACTCTAGACATGAGTTACTAACAGAAAAGGAGCCTCGACCTGAGCTCCAGAGAGCTGAAGTGGGGGTGTCAACACAGGGCCATCACAGGAGAGTGACAGGCAGCCACTTAACCTCTATGTCTCCTGTGCCCATCCCCCTTCACCTTCGCCTCCACCTCCACCTCCCATTCCAAGGCCCCGGTTCACAGGACAGATGTGACACAACTGTCCTCAGGATGTTCATTTTGGATCCTGCCCACCTGATGTCCTCTAAGCTGCTGGGCCAAGATGTGAACAGAGTGTCTTTTTTGGAAGTCAAAATGTTGCTTCTGTCTATGTTGTATTTGGGGTGAAATAGCCATGAGCTAGTATAAATGACGTCTGGTCAGTAGGGAAGTTTTCAAGCTTCTTATGGCTGAGAACAAGGAATAGAGGGATTTTCATTACCAAGGGTGGAAGTGCCTGGGTCCCACCATGGCTGCCAGGAAAGGTGGATGCCTTTGAGGTGGCCAAGTGGGAAAGCTGCTGGGGCTCAGCCCTAACCCATGCCACAAGATCGAGCAGCAGCCCCCAATTGTGCAAGGGCATGAAGGATCAGAGGCTGCTGGCACTGACATTTGGCGGCTAGCCACTCAGTCTTTTTGGCAGGAATGCCCACAGAGGTTCCCAAGCTACTGTCCCCAACTGCTGTCATCCCCGAGTGTGTGCTCTGCCAAGCGACTTCCCCAGATAGTGCCACTAATCCCTGGGGAGGCGGGTGGTGTCCCAGGGAAAGCCCAACTTGTTCTTGGCTGACCTACTGGGCCCCAGCCTATTGGCCCTTGTGTCCAGGAGAGAGGGAAGGACCAGCAATATGTCACGTCTGAGTTTTTTCTGTTCCCCGAGTTACACATCGCCATCTCTGCTTCACTGTAGCTCTTGGACCCTGGCCCTGGAGATGGGTAAAGGTAGCCCTTGTTGGTTCCTCCAATCCAGGCTTCCTGTGAGCCAGGGACCACTGTTCTCCCATGGCCGAAAGATCCCTCTGTGAAGTCTCACCAAATAAGCACAACCGGCTTGAGTTTCTGGAGCCTGCAGAACCCTGGAAGGGGCCCTGGTTTGCACTATGATTGGGACACACAGTCATCCAGGGTTGGTGATCAAAGTCCTGATTCTATTCTGGAACCTTCTCCCCTCCTGGCAATTGCAAAGTTTAAACCCAGCTACCTGGGAATGATAATGTCTACTTTCTCCTCTGCCTCTTTCCAATGGCTGAGGTGTAGCCTGGAGGATGAGCTGGTGCAGATTCCTTCTTACAGGACCCCTCTTCCAGGTCAGGTTACAGAGACACAAACCTTTGTCCTGGAGACAGAAGCTGTGACCGGCCGGTGATCATTGAAAGGAACCTGCAGTATGTCAGAAAACTTGTTCCTCTACAGGTGACCCATAACATCTGAGTTGTTCTTGCAGCTCCACTGGACCTGTGTCTGGACATTGAGGATCCAGGTAAGAGGGAAGGAAGGGCCAGCATGGGATGTGCATTTGAGCTCTCAGTCAGTCCTCTGCAGAATCCACAGCAGTACACACTACCAGCTCCATTTCACTGTGGCTCGCAAAGCCCTGGTCATGGAACTGGTGGAAGGCACTTGGTTCCCAGTCCAGCTGTGAACAGTGGATCTCATGTTAATGCCTGACTGGTCAGTGTAATTAAGCAGATCACATGAATTTTTCATGTCTTGAGTAAAATGGACTTGAACGTCCTTCAGTAGCTCTCCACAGCCCAGCCAGTCACTTCCTTTCTTTCTTTGTTTCTGAACTTTGCAAAGTCTCCCTCATTTATGAATGATGAGGTCTTTTCTGCCATGATGATAAAACCACATCCACCCCACCCACACACACTTCCGTACCAGGGCCTCGGGTTCATATGCAGTCACCTCTGATGGCTCACTGCAGCCCAAGACACCTGCTTGATCTTCAACCTCCATCTCCATCTCCCTCTCTCCCTTTGTTCCTCCTCTCCTCTGTCGTGCTTTCTCATGTTGCCTGAACATTTCACTCAACTGTCACACCTGGAGATCCCCCCATCACATCTGCTGGGACTGCTAAGCACAGCCTGAGCTGCTGTGCTGTGACCTCCCCTCCCCACCGCACAGGACTCTTGCTCTATGCAGCCTGAGCACTAGAAAAGAGCTCCCCAGCCTTCTGCTCCTCTCCTGCTTCCAGTGAGCTGAGGCCAGGGAGCCCAGCCTGTCAGTGAGAGGGGCCTACTGTCTCAGCCATGTTGCCAAGGTGGGAGCAAGAACCTATTCCCCGCTGACAGTCAGAACCAGCAGTGGGCAACATCACTGGGGGCTCCTGTGTCAGGCCCAGCACTGGGTCCTCATGGAATACAGACCTGTGTCACACAAAAATGCTTTCTCCACCATAAGGGGAGACTTGCCCTTGAACCTGTGAACAAGCTGGGGAAAGCTGACACCATGCACCATGCTGGTTGATGCTGTGGAAAACAAAACTCCATTCCCCCTAGGTGGAGCCTTCTCCCTCCCCCCAGCAGAAACCCTGCTCATTCTTTTTTAAAAAAGGGAGAGAGATTCATTTATAGAAACCTTTTTCATAATTTATTTCCCGTTGTTAATCGTAAGTATAAAAGTGAGGCTTGAGCTAAATGCAGGGTTTCAGGGGTGAAATTCTGACCAGGTGAACAAATAAATAAGTATTTACAATCTTTAGCAAAACAAAGTTTCATTAAGCTATCTGAGAAGCTTGTTTTAAAATGACATAAATAATTTACAGAAATTATGTTACACTGTAAGTACTCACATCATCATCCCATGCTATCATCCTGTTTGACCAAACGACCCAAAACAGAAGCCTGCACACTCTTCACGATTGTCACATTTAATGAAGACTCCCAACCCTGTGTTGGTCTTGGAAATACAGTTCCACAAGAAAATTAAAAGTGCAGCGAAACAAAACACAAAGAAAAACAACCGCAAAGGAAGCACATGAATTCAGACCAAAGGTGTGACTTCTCCCATCTGACACAGAAATGGGATCACTATTAACAGAGGGAGACAGATTTGCCCCATGTCAGACAGACAAACTTCTCCTACTCAACTCCGTATGTGGGGCGGGAGTGACTGATATTTCCTGCAGAGAGATCTTGCAGTTTAAACAAAAATAAACTTGTGTCTATTGCTGTGAGACTGATTACTGGGTGTGTCTGAATGGAAATGTTGGTTTTTCTTCAGCAAATAAGAAAAAAATCCTATATACAGCAGATAGATAACAGTAAAAAAATACTGAACTAAAATCACTGGCAACAGCATATATTAAGGTTCCATTACAAATTCTTCATTACTATTTATTCACCCTAACACATCTCACAGGGAAAATTTATCTCAAAGCCTTGTATTCAACTGGCAGATATTTGGTTGTGACTGTATCTTTATATTATATCCTTGTTAGGTATTTATTTCTAGAAATTATACTACATACATGTTCCTTGTTTTAAAATAAGTTATTAGTGAGCTCATTTGCATTCTCTATTCTTTTAATAAATATTAACAAAACATTTATACCTGGAACCTTAATGAAATGTTACCAAACTAGGCAAAAGCAAATTCCCCTCAGTTTCCAAAGCCCAGACTAGGAATTTGTACCAAAGTGCACTTGCTGATCTGTGTATCTGCCTGTCTGTTCTCTATAGCCGAGATCAGGAAAGAAGCCCAAGCAAAAATCCCAGAGGTCAGAATACAAAATCAGATGCCCTGGCCAGGCGTGCTGTCCAGGGGCCCAGTGGGCATGCAGGCTCTTGCTCTGCTGAGCCTCTACTCCAACAAGGCTCTACAGGAGTCCACAGCTGGAACCTGGCGAGGGCCATTTGGCAGGGATATGCTGTCTTCATCATTATCGGGTCTGAGGGTTTCCATTGTGAGACCAGAGGAGAAAGGGGAGCAAGGGACCCGTCTAGTTTTGTAATTGTTTCATATGTCCCCAATTGTCAATGCCTTACATCATTTGATGAGGGTTCACAGTCTTGTGTGACAATTATCTATGAACCACTTCCTCCATGGGCATTACTTCAGACTTGACTTAACCTAACAGGATTTGTGTGTTATTGTAGGTGAGCCCTAATCCAAGGACAGTGACAACGTTAAGCACTGAAAGTAGTTGAGCAACGTTTTTCATGATTAATTTATGACAATGGCTTCGGCACAATATTGCCTTCAACTCCACGTACACATAAATACAGTAAGAAATTACATTTTATATGTAAACGTCATTCGTTTTAAACAAACTAAAAAAGTGGTGCAACATGCTCAGTTTTCTCTCCACGTGACATCTGTGTCATCGAGCCGTCTTCCTGCAGGGGCTTAGATGTCCATCACTGTTTCTCCTTGGAAGGCACTGGGCTTTGGGTTGATGAAGGAGGCAAAGGACCACTCGGAGTTAAGGTCGAGGAACGGGAATGCTGCTAAGAGGGAAAGAAGCTGCGAGTCCGACCGTCTAGGAGTCACATTTGCAGCACTTTGCTAACCATGCAGTGCCTCTTGTCTAGGCGTCTGGAAGAAAAGAAAGCACACGGTTAGGATGACTACACCAAAGGGTTTATTCTACTCTGTTCCTACAACCTCAAATACCATCCCTTAAATTTTAAAATGACACAAACAGGATAGGTAGAAGGATGGATGAATAGAGGGGTGCATGGATGGATGAATGGGTGTAAGGATAGATGTGTTTGGATAAATGGATGGATGGATGGATGATGGCTGGGTAGATGGAGGGGTAGATGATTGGATGGATGGATGGATGGATGAAGAATGGATGGACAGATGGGTGTTCGGATGAGTGAATAGGTAAATGGGTGGATGGATGGGTGGATATATGGAAACATGAAATGTCTTCGAAGGCATCCTATTATAAGGATAAAAGGATAAAGAAACTTCACTAGAAGCAAGCAGATAAATGTTCTTGCCTTCACTTTTCTTTGCTTCATGTGTGATTTTCATTGTATGATCTTTGAGGAATACTTGCTTCATCTATAGACAACATGGGATTAAACTAGATGAGAGTCAAGTTCTTTTCCAGATTTATAATACTTTGATTAAAATGTACTCCTACTGGTATATTAAAATGAAATGCTCTTCCCTCCCTCCCTTCCTTCTTTCCATTCTTCAATCTTTAGTAAAGACAGTAATCTAAAAGAAGTCCAGAAGGTATAGAAAAACAAGAAATACAGCATCTAGTGCAGTGAGGAGAAGCCTGTGAATATTGGAAAGTGTCCTGCCTTAAGCACTCGAATTCAACTTCAAACAACAGGAAACAAGCAAAATCCAACCTGAGCTGCTCAAATGAAACCTTGCCAGGAGCAGGCAGCAGCCCTCACACACGGCATTATGCACAGCCCTATGCACTGGTGCTCAGTTTCTATGAGGAAATCGTGGGATGCCCGCCTCTGCTGGACCTGCACAGCCTCTCGGAAAGGCATGCACTCACCTCTGCATTCATACTTGAGGTCTGAGAAGTAGACCATTTCTTGAGAGAAGACAAACAGACCTAGCCGCCCGCCAGCGTAGGTGTGGTCATAGATTGGTCCTGAGTCAGCCATAACCTGTTTTCCTTCATGCACTAAGACTCTGAAAGGGGGAAGGGGTGAAAAGAGAGCTTGAACTCTGACATACTCACCAGGCAGTGGTTGGCTCTGGTGCTAGCTATTGACAAAAAGGGATCTATTTTTTTTTCTTGGTGCTGAAGCTGAACCCAAGGCTTCATCCCCATTGAGCTACACACCCAGCCCAACCCAGAGGGACCTGGAATCCCATATCTGCTCAGCGTTTCAGTGCGTCCTGGGCGGGAGCTTGCCTTCCCCATAAGGATGCAGTCCCCCACCCGTGCAGCATGGTCCAAGTGCCCCTTCCCATGTGCTCAAGCTGCCACCACACTTGGAGTGTGCACATCTCTACCTTTAGGAGCCAAAGCACAGGGTGAAGAGAAGGTGGGGGAGGGGCCATCTCCTGCTCTCCTTCAGGAGAGCAGTGCCCCTTCCTCCTCCTGGATCCCAGGGCCTCCCCTGCATTATGGTTTGAAAGGCCTTCCTCTTGCATTAAAACCATGGCCTCCCCTGTCTTTGTCCCGTCTCATTGCTGCATGAGAGAACAAGGGCTCAACCCTCCTAGAAGGGGTGCTCCAGTGTTGCCCAGTGGGAGGGTGAGAGAGTAGATGGGCCTCTGCACAGGGCATCCTGTCCTGCACCTGTCTGCACCTCACGCACCAGATCTGCCTACTATTGCAAAGGCCCTGCCCAATCCTGATCCATAAAGAACCCAATGAAGGATGGGGGTGTACCTCAGCAGTAGAGAGCCTCTCTAGCATGTACAACCCTGGGCTTAACCCAAAGCACTGAAAAAAACCTACTGGTTCAAAGAGCTTTAATTTTCAGTTGCCCACATTTTGTTTTAATCAAAATCACTTAAAAATACTCTTAAGCCAAGAAAACAAAATTCTGTTGATCGGGTAGCTGTGAAAGTCTTATTCAAACATGTGCAGTAAATTCAGCCTTTCACACAAGTGCATAGGAGTCAATTCTCAAATGAGGCCCAAGATGTATTATTTCTGTGCAGCTTCTCTCCCCTGCCCTGGAGTTCATTAGCAGGGGAGCTGCCCACCACCCTGTAAGTTATCTTAATAAGACACACTTTATTTTCTCCTTGTTAACAGTTTTTCTAATAAGCAATGTAAAGTAGAGATACAAGATAAAAGAGAACTAAAGGCTGAAGAGTCCAGAGGGAAGCATAAAAGTTAGTATTCACTTTGGCATATTTGTCCACCAACGTTCAAGCTGGCCACCCAATGAGGAGTTGGTCCTGAACGAGGCATCACTTGGCAGAAGTGTAGCTGGCACCGCTCTGCCTTACCTTATGTAGCCCGTCTTCGGCCTGTGGATCAGATGCCACCTGTAGGCAGTGTAGTCTTTCCAGCCGATGTTTTTGGGGTCGTGCCATAATGTGCGCACCTGCGGGAGGGAAGAAGGCAGCTCTGTTGAGTGCAGGGGGCACCTGTATCTCCTCCACTGTCTCACATCCCACGGGAAATAAAAATGGTGCTCTGCAAGATGATCCTCTGCACACTTTGCTCCGTCTCTCTGACACTTTTTATAGTACAACAATTATTCTCTGTGTCTTATTCTGTACCGTGTAAGTCTTACCTCATTGCTACATCTCGCTGAAACATTTTACAGTACTCATATTTTACATGCAAGCACTGTATGTCTCATGCCATACTGTATTTGTCTTATTACACTGCGACATCGCTCGGATACGTTCTAAGGTACACAAGTACTATGTGTCTTATACCGTACTGTGTTTGCCTTACTACAGTGCACAGCAAAATCCACTAGGGAGGAGCACTGCAGTTCAGTGTTAAGACCACGGGCATTTGACCCAGAAGGTAGGATCCAAATTCAGGATTTTTGACTTCTTCCACATGCAACTGTGGGCAAAACATTGAAATATTTTGAAATCAACTTCTCTCCATCTCTGTGAGAGTAGAAATATGTTGAATTTGCAAGAGGATTCCCAGCTGTGTTTATAAAAGCACCAGGCTGTGATCTGTAATAAAGTGGATTATCAACAGCCACTATCAAAACGATTGTTGCCTGAGTTAAAATTAACAAAAACCAAAGTGGGGCGTCTTTGGGGTAGACCGACACCATGGAGGGGAGTCTGTGGGGTCTCTCACCTGCCCTTCCGTGTTCCCTGTGTGCCACAGTGCATTCCTCAGGTGCTCGCCTGTGCCTGTCGTGGAATTCACCACCTTGAGGGACACCCCAGAGTAGCCGTATGCCCGGCTGGGCTTGTCTTCCCAGTAGGTCTGGGTGACTTGCTTCCACATCACCACATAGAAGCGGCTGCTTGACTGGTAGCCAAAGACAAAGCCAGCATAGTCATCATCCCGGTCAGTGTTGACATAGAACGTGCCACTGAAGTCCACAGACCCAAATTCATCGAAACCTGGATGCAAAGGAGACAGGAGGTCTCCAGGATCAGGGAGGAGTCTGCAGGGAACCCCCAGTTTGACCCATGGTCATTGAGGCAGGCCCAAGAGCTTAGCTTGGCTCTCTGTACCTAAGCCATGTTCTGTACTGTGAGGTTATTAAAAGTTAAGGGATATTTTTGGTTCAATTTACAGACTTATGGCAGCTTTTACTGTGTGACATAATACTTTTAGACTGAGTCCATCAAGTGAAATGACTTACTGCATACCAAACTTCAAAGACATAGACGAAGCCACCTTATCCTTCCCTAGAGTCTCCTGTCAATATTATTTAGGGAGACAGTGTCACACACCAAGGAAGGACAGAGCTACCAGAAAGATCACCATAAATTCTGCCCCATGACCACACACCGTCATCCACGTCCTTTGTGGACACCAATGGTGGAGTCCTCTGGGATTCCAGGCTCACCTACAGCGATGCCAGGGTCTGAGTTTGCTGTCTGGACCAGCTCCTTGCCTTGGTGACGAATGACCCAGTTGGGGTCAATCTGTGTGGTACCCTTGGGGTCCAAGGGTACCATCTGGAAGTTCCTGAAGTCAGTCTCACTAATGGCATTGTTCTCAGGACACACATCATCAATGTCTGGGACACTGTCGTTGTCAAAGTCGTCTTTACAGATATCACCCCGCCCATCACCTGTTCACAGGGAACAAACAAAAACAAGGACACAACATGGTGACTTGCTACTGTTCTTCCTAAGCAAGAAAAGAGAGCTCAGGATTTTCTGATGCCTGGGACCGAACACTTTGCAGTTACTTTTGGATCACGGCTGTGCCGTTGCTCAAACATTTAGCTTGGATGCTACAAGGAATCATTTTTCCAACACCCTCCTGATTAATACTGCAGCACAGGATAGCACAGTAAGACCCACACAGGACTCACTGCTCACTTCATTTGCAGCTCAAAACTGGGGTGCAAAACCTGGACACTGGCCAAGGAATGTAGAGCTGAACTTGGGCTTTTTAAAATTTATCTTCCTTAATTATTGGCGCTGTTTTAATCAATTTGGCACTTAAAGCAGAATGTTTACAGGAGACATGAGTTTTCTTAAGGAAATTTGGACTTCTTTGTTTAGACACTTGTCAAATTCTCAGTAAGGCTGTGGCAGCTGTCTCAGTTGGCCACATCCACCTTGGTAGATGAAGGGAGGTGGACCATGTGAACTTACAGTTAACTACCCAGCCCATGGCCACAGTGAGATGCCACAAGCAGAGCCCAGTGTGCCAAGTCGGTCTCTTGTTTTGGAAAGAAGTAAAAGTACCAAATTTGACCTCAATGGTGTCTTGACTCTCTCATCACAGGTCTGTTCAATTTCATAAATTTGCTGTCTGTATAACAGGCACATGTTCGCTTTTAAAAAGTATTAAAATACTCCTCTGACCTCCAACTTTGGCCCATCCCAGACCCATTCCTGGGTGAAAGCTTCCCTGTCCAGGAGCAGCAAGCCCTCTTCCCACATGAGTCTGGGAAGCCGAACTTGGCTGCTTTGAGTACAGATGAAACTTGTCCTTTTCTTCTGGCCTCTACATGCTGCTCAGGGAGGGCCTGGAGATGCCATAAGATTTTGGGGAGTCATGAGCTCAACACCCCAGGGTTCCTGATCTCCTTTTCCTAAGGATGTGTGTCTTCCAGAGGACTTGGACCCAGGGATCAGCTCCTCCAGCTGCTCACTCACATCCAGCCCACCAGTGAGCACAGCTGTGCACTGTGTTTATTATTCAGAGTTGGTGACGTGAAGTACAGCCATCCTTCCTGGAGTCTGCTTCCTCAAGAGCCTACACAGCTATGGTCCTCTGATTTGCCTTAGCTGCTGAGCAAACAGGTCCTTTATCTTATCTGTCACACTTCCCCCATTCTGGGTGCTTTCCTCTCAAAACAATAAATACTCCTCATCCTCTCATTGGCCTCACAACAAACCATATTTCCTTCTATGGGATTGTCAAAGTTTTAAAAATAGCATGAATGTTGAGCTTTTTCCTCACCCCAGCATGCACAAATACAGACTTGACACCTGTTTTTGGTTGAATAATAGACCCATAACAAGGAGCAGGGTAAGCAGGAGACTAGTGGCACCCCTGCCCTGTGCCCTCAGATGGCCCCAGTAATGCAGTGTCCCATCAGACCTTTTAAGACATTCTTGCAAGAATGCTTCTGCCTTTGCAGGGCAGCCCAGGCAGCTTCCCAGCCCACAGGGCATGAGGAATGCACCCACCATCTGAGTCCTCCTGGTCTGGGTTGAACACAAGCCGGCAGTTGTCCCTGTCATCGGGAACTCCATCATTGTCATCATCAGAGTCACAGGCATCTCCCTTGCCATCATTGTCGTGGTCAGCCTGATTAGCATTGGAGATATATGGACAGTTGTCCTGGTTGTTCTGGTGGCCATCGTCATCTATGTCTTCATTGTTGTCACACTGGTCTCCAACGAGGTCATTGTCCACATCCGTCTGGGAGAGAGAGCACAAAGCAAGTGACCTGTGAGCAACGTTCAGGACTGAGAACCAAGCACCTCATCTCACAGACCAGTGCGGAGGGCTGTGGAGAAATGGACTGTCTGGGCTTCCTCCACTGTCTACCTCAGACCCGGGCCTAGATATGGAACCTGGGCCCAAGAACCTCCTCCGCCTGTGTGTCCTCCTGGCTAAGGAGTGCCCCATGTAATGTAAGGGGCTCCTGCATCTCACTGAGAAAAGAGAACAGCACATAAAGCAGCTGTACTGCACACCACTCACCAGGGAACATTCTGTGGGACATGTTCCCCTGTCCCTTCCAGAGGCTAACCTGGAAGTGAGCCAGTCTCCCTTTAGATAGTGAGAGGGAACATGTCCTCATTTGGCTTTAAGCCACTGAGATATAAGAATCATGCTTAGATTTGGATTCTGCAAATGTTTCCAACTGAGGCTGGAAGCAGAAATGGATTGAAAATTCTCTGTTGTAATGCCCTGGCTGAGTTGCTGGGAACCACAAGGCTCATTTTCATGTAGCTGCAATCACACACAACCCATCACTTATTGAACCCCAATCACAGATGCCCCACTGCCTACAGAGCCCCAATCAGAGACGCCCAGTCACCTACAGAGCCCAGCTCACAGACGCCCAGTCACCTGGTCAGGGTTGTGCATGAGAGGGCAGTTGTCACAGTGGTCACCCACACCATCACCATCTGTGTCTCTCTGGTCAGTGTTGTAGACATAGGGACAATTGTCTCGTTCATTGAAAACATCTGTTGATATCCAAAGGGAAAGAAGTAGCCTGCTGAGCTTAAGAAAGTGCACCATCTTTGCTACCACATTAGATAACATACACGCAATGTTTTACTTAATCATAATAAAAGCTAGGAACATGGCAAAATGGAAATTAGATACGTGGAAGAGCAGATGACATATTTCCCACAATTTAACCCCTCTTAGTTTAAAACAGAAGCTACTTTGAGCTCCCTGGTGATGTCACACAATGAGGGTCAGTGTGCAGGCCTGGGGTGAGTGAGCTTGCTGAATTGATCATCACCCAATAAGACATAAGACATTGTTTCAAAAAATCTGAAACAAAGAATGAGTCCTAGCCATACTGGAGTTGTGAATACAAAGTAACTGAAGACCAGATAATATCAGCAGTGACAAAATAAATGAGAAAGCAAAGAATCAAGTCTCAGTCAGAGGAAGGGAGTGGACCAGGTTGAGATGCTGGCCTTGCGCAAGTGGGTGGAGCCTGATGAAGAGGAGGTGACACAAGGGGTCAAGGTCAAGAGAGACAGAACCTGTAAAAATAAAGGGTGTGAGAATGTGATCAATCAGCACATCACAAATGCCACTCCAACTCAGAGTGGACATGAGGTGCCGTCTCAGTGTCATAAAGTCCAGACCCCATGTGTCCTGGGGACAAGGGTGGAAACAGAAATGGACTGAAAAACTTATACTAAGAAATATGCTTTGGGACAAAGCAGCAAGGGCTGGGTTGACCCCAGGCTAGGCAGGAAGGAGGAAGAGAGGACAATCACAGCAGGGTGGGGTGTGGGGAGCCAAGCAGAGACAGTGCTGTCAGCTGCTGCTTGTTCTGCAGGAGCTCGCCTGGTCTCTGACACTCTGAGGAAGGAGAGGTGAAAGGAGGACCAAATGCAATGGGCTCTTTAGGTCTCTGGACTTTTCACAGAGGCCACCTGGCCTCAGGCCAAAATGTCAACCTACAGCAGTGTCACAGGTCACAGGATACACCTGCTTCACTCCACCTGTCTGAGGAGCCTGTGGGTGGAGCTTATAAGGGAAGGGAAGGATGAAAAAAAAGAGAACATGGATGTAAAAGTTCCAGGAGAGGCTGCTAGAAAGACAAACTGCTCTGAGACTCTTCTCAGAGCAGCTTTAAGAGGACTGGATTCTTGAGATTTTTGAATGGAGAAAATCACCATGAAAAGTGCAAGGGTGCAGGGCTACAAGGATGGGTTAGGATAAGAAGATTCCAGAATAGTGGTTTTCCAAGAATAGTCTTGAGGCTTGTAGGAGAAGACAGGGAGAATAAGGATTGTGTCCTGTGAGAATGAAGCTATTTGAGGAGTCACTTCATCTCGTATTACTATTCAGATGAAGTTGATCCCTTCCAAAACTTCAGAACAAATTATAAATCTTGTACACTCAGGCATCCTTGGTATCCATGGAGGGCTGGTTCCGGGACCCACATGGACACAAAACTCTAGGACACTCAAGTCCCTTACACAAAAAGCTGTAGTATTTACAAATAACCAAGATCATTGTGTTGCATAGTTTAGGGACTAATGACAAGGAACAAATCTACCCAGGCTCAGATGCAGCCTCCTTCCAAATACCTATCTGCAGCTGGTTTCAATCTTCGAACCCAGAACCTGTGGACACAGAGGGCACAGGACTCCTAATTGTGAACCTTAAGATGCATCACTAAAACGAACAGAGCAACTGACCGTCCCCATCAATGTCCACGGAGCAGGCATCTCCCTCTCCATTGTTGTCTGTGTCGATCTGGGCGGGGTTGTGTACATAGGGACAGTTGTCACAGCGGTCCCCAACCTCATCTTTGTCATAGTCAGACTGACGGGGGTTGAAGAGAAGCTGGCAGTTGTCCTGGAAACACAGGACAAGAGTTTCAGGAAGAGTAACAGAAATGGTTCCCCGGGTCAATACAGAAATGCACTTACAAGTGCTGCCTTCCGATTAGATCAAATGACCAACAAAGATGTCAAGAGCCAGTTCACCTCTCCCCACACTTGCTTCATATCAGGTCTGTGTACAATTACTTATATACCCATCCTCTGTTAGAAAAGTTGAGATTTTCTACAGCAAACATTCTGTCTATACTTCCTTGTGAAGTCAAATAGACGAGTGGATGAATGAACAGATGAATGCTTCCAAGGATGGAGGAACATCTGATGGAGGAAAGCCCTGAATTCAGATTTAGGTGACCCGTCCTCTCTAGTGCTATGTTGTGTGCTGTGAGTTTGCAATGATTGTCACAGAGACAACACTCATTCTGGTGCAAGCCTCACCTCTCATGGGCACCTGGCCTCATAGAAGGGCAGCAGACAAGCCCTTGTCACGCAACCAAAAGTGAATGGAATGATTAAGCGTGTTTTTCTGCAGAGCATGTCAGGTAGCCCCCATGCTCTGGTTTAATCTGCTTTCATAAGTGACCGCCTTTCTTGGTGACTTCAGGGAATCCTGCACAAATACCCTGTCAAAACGATGGCATTACAAGGACTAGTCAGCGGGGAGCACAGGTGTCCTCTGACCTCTCCACTCCTGAGGTCATGAGCAGGTTCACCCAGCACAGCCCGCCTTACCTTCTCATCGCTCACACCATCATTGTCATCGTCTTCATCACAGGCATCTCCAATTCCATCCTTATCAAAATCTTCCTGCCCAGAATTGGGCAGCTGGGGGCAGTTGTCCTGTGATTAGGAAAGGATGACAAGGTGAAGACATTTGGAACTGCCCTGCTCTCCACAATGACAGAATTGTAACAAGAGGGATGACTCCCAGCACATAAACATCAGGCATCCATCCTCAACCCACAGCAGAAGAGGGGAGGGAGAGCCTGTGTCCCCTGGTCAGGGCTTCTGTTTTCCTTTCAAGTCTTGTTCTAGGAATTATGTCACCACTACCAGCGAGTGGAGACCAAAGGAGCTGTATTCGGACCCAGTATTCCAGAAAAGTCACCAAACCCCTGCAGAGACACGAGGAGAATGAGGTCACAGCTCCGAGAACATAGGTCTGGCGGTGGAGGGGAGTACACAACAGAAGCTTCTGTGTCCTGCGGCCTCCCTCACAACTCAATGACCCCAAGTGTGCAGTCTGAGCTCTGCCTGGTCCGCAAGTTGAAGAAAGCAGCCTTTCGCAGGTGTGTGCTCTGCTCAGACCAAGACTTAGAACTGGAGGCTGCTGCACTTCAGCTCTTCACAGGGAGCCAATGACAAACACGGGGAAGCAGAAAAGGTCATTCTCTCAGTCCTCTGCAACACAGCTTACACCTGGGTCACACAGACCTGACAACTGCAGGACTGGGAACCACAGGGCAGGATGAGAGCAGCCTTATCTTCAGTCATGCTGACATACACCTCACAGAAGCCCAAGGGGCTGCCCCTGCCAATGGACCCGACATAAATGATCCCATCATCACTCAGGGACCACACCTGCCAGAGTCAGGATTGGAGCCCCTGCATTAGCCATGACGAAAAGACAGTGGGGCCTCAGACTCCACGGGGCACCTGGTCAAGGGGAGACCAGAGACCTGACTGCCACACCAGGGAGCAGGACTCTGACTTAGGCCTAACTTCTGATCCTTTGTCCTCACAAAGTTTACATCTCTATAAAATATGGGAAGTCCAGTGTGTTTGAAGTAATCAAGTTCCTATTTGCAATTCAGCAAAAGTGTTTTAAGAGTTAGGACGTCACAGAAGCAGCATGAGGACTGTGAAGGAAGAGTGGCCATGACAGGCAGGTTATAACCCAGTCTGCAGTCACTGCCCAATGGTGGCCATGGCAGGCAGGACACAGTGTGGTTGACAGTCACTGCCTATGTACTTAAAAGCAATGCTTGTTCTGGTGAACATATGCCATCTTTAACCAAGAGGGAATAAAAGAGGAAATTCAAGCTAAAACTTGATCACTCAAAATTTACAGTAATGAGTAGTATACATACATATAATTTTTCTTTAACTGATGCTCGTTGTAAGATTTCAGTACTTGCACTGATGAGATTATTGAACCATAAAACTGTACTAACACCCATGTACTGGGTCCCTAAACATGTCCCCATCCTAAGCCCTCAATGTCCCCAATATGGATGAAGAGGGTCAGCTCTGTGTCAGGACATGTGGCCTTGCAACCAAGACATGAAAAACAGAGCAAGTCTAGGAACAGATACACGAGGGAGAAACTCATGTGAACAGAGAGAAAGAAACTGGAGCTGTGAGATCCGCCCAGAGTCCTGGAGTCACAGGAAGCTGGAGAGGGTGGGATGGCTGCCCCCTGAGCCTCCGAAGGAGCCACCACCCCACGCCCAGCACTTAATTTTGAGTGTGTAGCCTTGAGAACTGCGAGGAGACATGACTCTGTCCTTTCAGTGTGTTACAGCGGCCGTGGGACAGTGACCATCTGTGTGGATTGGAAGCTCATTCTCTCAGGTGGCTGGCTGCCTTCTTCATCCCGTGGCGTGTTTGGGTCTTCGTGAAGAGAAATCTTTTCTACGTACTTGCTGAGTAATTTCATTTGGGGACACTTCAGCCTACCCACACCTGGGGCCAGGCATGGAGACCCTTAGGCCATCTCCTGGCCCCTCACTCCCTCACTGTGGTGGAGCCTGTGACTATCCAACACATGAACATCGAAATGAACTGCGGGGCCCAGCCACAAGCAGTGTGAGTGGACGCTGCTCTGAATGACGATCGGGGAGTGCTCAGCCCGTAAGTGCCATCCTCCGGGCAAGACACCTGGACACACAGCTAACGTTCAGCCAGAAAGACCCACACTCCCTTCATCCCCATTATGGGAAAGTACATGGCTCTGGCATGTCACAGTCTTGAAATAGGAAATCCACGGGGAGTGCAGGAAGGAACAGGACAATAGAAGTTTCTCATTGTTTAGACCAATGCATTATTTCCAAATTGGCCCCAGCCCCTCTGAGAATCACTGATGATGGGAGGGGCTGGAGCATGGAGCCCATCCCCGTCACACATGGGCGCCAGTCTCACCTTGATGCAGTGGTAGGTGGCATTGGTGGCACACACCAGGTTGCTGTTGGGCCAGCCGTCTAGGTCTGAGTCCTCCCCGCAGATGAGCCCGTCTCCCGCGTAGCCTGTCTGGCACTCGCACTTGTACATGGGGTCGCTGAAGTGGCCCAGGTAGATGCACTCTGCATGCTTGTGGCAGTTGTGAGTCTTGTCCTTGCATGGGTTTTCGGGCTCACATACCTGCAGAACCAAGGGCCACCAGAGCCACCAACAGGACTTCTCAGGAAGGCCTGAGGCCAGGACTGGGGCAACCTCAGGGGGATGCAGAAGGCCTAGCAGGGAGATGGCAGGTGCATAGGTGTAGATGTAAGGAGTCTAGCCATTTCTAGACATGGTTAGGGAACTTCTCAGTGGCTCTCTGAGCAAGGCAAACATCATTCCTGAGCCTGCCTGTGGTCACCATGTGCTGTCCTATCACTCGCCGTGGATTGAATGTGTCCCCCAAAAGTGCACATTGGCAACATTGGAAGATGAATGCAATGGTACTGGAGGTGGAGCCCAAGGGGCGGTGTTTAGGTCACCAGGGCTCCGCCCTCAGGAATGGACTCACACAGAATGCAAAGGGCTTAGAGCTGTGAGCTCAGTCTCTTGTCCCCTCTGGAGTTCTCTCTGGTCCTTGCCTCCCACCATGGATGACACAGCACTAGAGGCCAAGCTGTTGACCTTGCACTTCCCAGCCTTGAGAAGAGTGAGAGGTATCTGTTCTTTATCAAAGACCCAGCTTCAGGCATTATGCTACAGCAGCACAAGATCAACTCATTGTTACCTGAAGTTTAATGGACTCATCGTGAAAGATCAGATTTGAGTCCCATGTCAATACAGTGACTCCAGGGGGACAGCAGCTCAGAGAGCTTCTGTGAGGTAGCTACATCTCATGACCCCCCAGCCCAAAAATAATTCCCCTTTCTCCTCCCTATACCCTTTCCACCTTTCTGGACTCACCTGATTCTTCTCAAAGCCTTTCCTAGTATACAGGGAAGGTCGGTCCTGCTTACCTGCTTTTCCGTCCTGGCCACCTCCAGGCCAACCCCAAAAGGCTGGCTCCCCTTGTAGCGCGGCGGACAGGGCAGGCAATGGAAGCCAGGATGAGTGTTGACACAACGGGAAACTTTGTTGGTTGAGAAGCAGATGTCTGTGACCACAGCGCACTGCAGGGAATGAGCACACGTGAGCCACTGCTCCTGATCTCCACAGGCTCCCTGTGACCCGGGGGGAGAGGTGACCCACCTCGTCCAGGTCCTCACAATGGGTGCCGTTGCCCAGGAAGCCCACTGGGCATGAGCCGCAGGACCAGGACCCATCTGGGAAGCTGTTGCACTTGGCTCCAGGAAAGCAGGGGTTGGACAGGCATCCATCTGTGGGGTCATGGGCAAACTAAGACCCAGGGCTCACAGCACTGGCCTCACTCAACACAGAGCCCTGTGTCTGTCACCCTTCCTGCTTTAGCTGCCTGAAGATTGTGCTGTTAGGCATTTTCTGGGGGGGTCACACAGTGTGCTGCTAGACAGGCGTCAAAACCTATCCTCACCAAGAATACTGTCAAATGATGAAAGGCGTGATAGGTCACAAGGGCACACACACATTACGACTGCTGTCTATTCACTGCTGATTACTCACACTGCTTTTTACATAAAGACTCTGCTTTTACATAAACAAGATGTTAAAAGCAATGCAACACAAATATTAAAAGCACTTCTCTCTGTGCACAAATACATTTTTCTTTTCTATGTTTCTGTGTTTTTCTGTGTTTCCCCAAAATGTTTACACTTTGCATCAGAATAAAAGCAAGTGGTTCCTTCAGAAGCTAATGAACCAACACACCCACCTCTAGGGCAGCCCCTTTGACACCTCCTCCCCCCCCATGTGCACCCACCTATCGGGCAGCTCCTCTTGTTGCACATCTGGTGTTCCTTCACGTCCCCCACACAGTCCTTCCCTCCATACTGGGGCTCAGGGCTGTTGCACACCCGCGTCCTCTCACGGATCCCTCCGGCACAGGTGACCGTGCAAGCTGACCATGGGGACCAGGGACTCCAGCGGCCATCAACTATGGGGAGAACCAGGAAAGAGGGCTGAAAGGAGGTGAGGAGGGTGACAAGATGTGCGCTGAGGGGCACAGAGGGAAGAGCAAAGTGAGGAAGTGGTCGCTCCTCCAAGGCAGGAGAAGTTGGTTTGTTCTCCTTCATTTGAGTTACAGCTGAAAAGGGAGGGATGGGGCCACTACGTCCTTCCCTGGCCATAATTCAGAGAGTGGCAATAGTGACAGAACTTGCTTTTACCTTTGAAAGAAAATTCTCACAACCTTTCATAAATAGAAGCACAGGACTCTTTGCCAAGCCGGCACCTGAGCTGAATGCTGGCCTCATCAGGAAATGCTTTGTGAGACCAAGTCTCCTCGGACATGGCCACCATGCAAAAAACAGGTGCATGTGGATGACTCAGCAGACAGTCATGCATGGATAACCCACCCCTGAAGATGTCACCCTGCATCAACACAAGACTTCCCTGGAGAAGGACATGGAGCTTTGAGCCTTGGGCTCACTCAGCCACACTGTCTCTCCCCAGACAAGGCCAACTCCTGTACTGAGCATGTTCTGCTCATCCAGTGTCCCCAGCCCAAGTGCACAGTTCTGGCTCATTTTCTTTCATGTACCCACTGCCTGACTGTGCTCTGTGCTGGACACAAAGGAAGCTGGGCAAACTTGGAGGTCAGTGCTGTATGCAGGCCTTCAGCAAGAACCCCAAAGAACCAGGGCAGCAACCCCCTCACTACTCAAGAGCTGTGCTGGCCTTTGCTTAGTGATGTGGCTGGGCTGGAGCAGACCCTGGTGGTGGTAGCCCTGATCCAGCTCCTCCTTGTACCAAGTTTTTTGTGCAGCCCCTCCACCCTACATGTCACCCATTTGCTTGGGCATCAGTGCCCCAGCAAGCCTTGGTCTCCCCCATCCCCCCAACCCCGGCATCACCCACTCACTTGGGCACGGAGCACCCTGGCAGGACTTGGTCTCCCGGCCACTGCCCTTGCAGCTCTTGCCGCCCATCTGGGGCACCGGAGAATTGCAGAGACGAATATGAGTGATGTTCCCGACTCCACAAGTCACAGAGCAGGACGACCAGGGTGACCAGTGGCTCCAGCCACCATTCTGCCGTACTGAAACGGGGAAGCACAGAGAGGTGAGCTCCTTGGGCTGTGTCCGGGGCCTGGCCCACCCCTGGGGAATGCCTTCTGAGCCAGGCAGTTCACACTGGAGAGAAGAGGGAAGAGCACTTTGCCTTTACCAAGGAGAAAGTGCCTCGCCTGGCGAGAGTACTCAGCAAAGCTGATGCCTCCAGGAACCAGAGGCAGCTCACACCCTGCGGGAACACACGTGCCCAGGGTGGGGAAGGGAGTGACACTCACTGCGTGTGTCGCACTTGCCCAGGCTGCATGCCCGCGTCTGGATGGAGGGGCCCAGGCAGGTGTTGCTGGTGACATCACAGGACCGGCCTCTCTGTTGGGTCCCAGAGCCACACGTGACAGAGCACTGGGTCCACTCTGCCCATGGAGACCAGCCCTCCTCACTGTCTTCCGCTGGCCAAGGAAACACAACACTTGACATCAGACCCCACTTCCCACAGCAAGAACGGGCACATGCAGTGATCTTGAGACTTCTGTTCCCCTCCCCACCCCCTGACTTAGGAGGCTGAGCATGACTTCCTGACAGGGATGACATTGGTAGGTGTCCTGGGCAGAGCCATAGGTAGGAGCCTGGGGGTGGACATCCAAGGGAAGAACAAAAGTGAATTATAGAGTCCACTGTCTAAGGGAAGAGGAGAGCTGAATGCAGGTGTGTCCAGAAAAGTTGGTCCACAGATTAAAAAAAAATGTTTGCCAACAAGAATCCTGACTCTTGTCTACACCGGGTCTTATTAAAGTCATTTTTCATTTGATGTATTTTTCATTTGAACGTTGTTTTGCTGAGCTATATAAGGCGATAATGTTTCAACCATTGGCTGAAATAACTTATGAGTCACATCATTTATTTCCAGAAAATTTAAATTAAAAAAAAATTAAATAAAAAGGCCAGAAATTCTTCCCAGCTAATTGTGGCTTCAAGAGAGCTTTCTGATCACCAATACAAGCTACGCTTATGAACTTGTGGCCAGGAAATGTTCAACTGAGAAGTGATGGAAAGTTCCAGTAGGCAGGAAGGCCCTTCTGGGCCCCAGCCCTAAAAAGCTGCCCTTTGATCCCTCTGAAACCTCAGACCATCACTGTCCCTGTTCTACACAGGCAGCTAGAAGTCAGCTCTGAGGACAGGTGACAAGCACCTTCACGTGAATTGTGCCATTCACGTCAAGCATAAGACTAGTTCTGTGTGTTGGGGGTAATTTGTCTGCATTTTTCAGAGAATGAATCTGAAACTCAGGAAACTCTAGAAATAATAGAGCAGCACAGCCTATGACCCACCCAAACCCATTCTCGAGGTTGGGCACACAAAGAAAGATGCACAAGTCCTGAGGCTGTTGCAGAGGGACACAGCTGCCAGCCTGTGTCCCCATCAGGCACAACACACAGTGAGTCTCTCATTCTGGGTCCTTCAGGGGAAGGCGGGGCTGGACACATAAGGCAGCCACCAAAGCCCTCGCCTGCACCTCCACCTGGGGTACCACACTAAGTGTCAAGATGGAAGCACCTCAATGACCAATCTGGGACTCTTAGCAAGGATGGGTCAGGTCCTTTAGCACCAATGCCCTGGGAAGGAGCACTCAATCAGCCCTGCTGAGACTGGGGAAGGGAAGGAGCAGGGGACTTAGCAGAGCACTAAGAAGCATGCACGTTCCAACAGGCAAGATGTGCTCCTAACACAGAAGAGACAGAAGTCCTGAGAGCGATACAAAACCACTCGGGTCCAGGAAGGGGAGAGGCAGGGCTCGGGTGCACATCACAGGGTGGTGGCACCACTAGATTTGAGTGGGTGACTGGGATTCTGGACACGTGCAGCATCACAGATCAGGGAAAACCCAGGACAAAGCACTCAGGGTTGGGCAGGAGATCCAGCTGTGAAGGGCGCTCCAGGTAGGCGTGGGTGAAGCAGAGACCCGGGGATGCCTCAGGCCAGCTCAGCCCCATCTCCACAGAGTGCCAGGAGCCCAGGGAGGCTAGCACACAGCTAAATCCCCCCTGAATCCTGGTCTCTGACTCTTGGGATGTAGCTTTATAACTTAGAACACGTCATTTCACTAATGACCTCTGCTTTCTGTGTGTTTATTTTCTACATGAAAAGTGTGCAGCAGTTACCCCTGTCTTCACAGAGTCCCAGCTCCATCTGTGGCTTCTGACACCATTGGTTCCCACACATGGCCTCCCTCTGGGCCAGGACGTTGGGGGTTTGGGTCCTGCAGGATTGCAGGGGCTCAGCCTCCTCTGAGAATACCAGCACAGGACAGGCTCTCAAACAGCTTCCTGGTCCCTGGTTATTACATGACCAGGTTTGAGATGTCCTTTTTGCTTCCCTCAGCTGCCTGTCCCCAGGAGTCTGGACCTCACCGTCCTCTGCCCAAACCAACAAAGGAATAAACAAACAGTCCAAACCCCAAGAGTGCAGATGTGGGGGCAGCAAAGGGACTTACCATGGGAACAGGAAGGACAGCATTCGCCTTCAATGAAGGATGGATTGGCACAAGTTGCTGGTGAGCAAGAGATTTGCTGGCAAACGATCTTAAATTTCTGTAAGTAGAGAAAAGTATTCATAGAGCACTCGTTTAAAAGCAGCAGACATTGGTACTGGGGCTGGACTGAGAAAGGCCAATAGTGAAGTTGGCATTTTTGTCCACAGAGTCTACATTACAACATGTGATAGTAGCAGGCCTGAGGGAGGTAGCTCTGTGCACCCCACAGCTCCCTTCTCCCACCATTAAGCAAGGGGACTACAGCCGAGGACTTCAACCTGCTCTGGCAGGAGAAGAAAAAGGACAGGCAAAGTACCCTTGTACATCGATCATCGTCTGAGGCAGTCACGTGGAAACTGAGCAATGAGAAGAAACTACATCACCTGTAGTATTTTTGATAATGACTTGTGCTTCCCCAGACATTTCTGCTGAGCCTCAAGGCCCTGTCTCAACTGAACAGAATCAAACATAAAGTAAAGAAAATCCTGGCTGTTTCTCACCACCTGGTGACATTGACCTCGCCACTCTAACCCCCTGGGTTTTGGTTTCTTTATGGGCAAAACAAAGAGGTTGATTCAAGTGGCAGATAAGGTCACTTCCACTTGTACAGCTCTCAGACTCAACCTTCCTTGTGCACCTGAATTTTCTTTATGAGTAGCCACTGACCACGTCCTTTCCCATGGGTAAGATAAAGCCCGTACTCGACAGTGGTGAGAGCTGTGTCCCCACGGGGAGCTTCACTTGGCCTCACCTTGCAGGTACATGTGGTACAGCTGTCCACAACCCAGGTTTCATTTTCTGCAAAGAACCGGCCATCCTGCAAACAGGCTGACACATTCCTTGTCTTTGGAGGGCCACCGATGAGCTCCAAGAGGAGCTGGTTGTTGTCCAACTGGAAATGGAGTTGAAGGTTAGGTACAGGCAAGAGTTGGACATATCGGTTGTTAAGGCCTAAAGAAGGTTCCTCCCTAATCCAGGGGCTCTGAAGTCAGGTGCACAATCCAGATTCATGCCACCCTACGTGGGGACACCAGAGCCTGGTAAAGACAGGCTAGAGTGAACCTTCTACAGAGGAGACCACACCACAGAGAAGAGTCATGCACACTGTCTTCACCCATTACCATTGCCTTTCCCCACTCCACTGAAGTGGGGAAAGTAACATGCACAGGCTCTAAAGTGCTGACCGTGCCATAGGGTGGAAGCCAGGCTGCTCACTGGCTGAACAGGACTCAGAGGTAGGGGAAAGAACAGGGAGGGGAGGCCAGTCCACTGCAGCCAAAACTAAGGTGAAACTCAGGTATCCACTCATTCTTCCTTCTGATAGCAGATCTAATGGGTACCATTCTGACAATGCAAGGACATGGTGGCCATGACTCTTGCCATTGTGGGGATCATAGACCATACAAAAGATTCGAAGCTTAAAATTCAGATGAATTCAATTGCACCAAATGGTTGCTCTTTCTCTCCTTCTGAATGCCATGTGTGTAGCTCCCTGCCCCCCCCCCCCACTTCAATGGCAGTTCCTGATCTGGGGTCACAGACCCTCTAGAGACCTGATGAGTGACATGGAGCCAGTCTTGTACAAACACACTGAAGCACACCATTGCTATGTCCCTGTTCCAAGCCACAGATTTCCGTAATCTCTGACTTCATGCTAGTAACTCTGTCCCAGGAGTACATTTCAGTTAGTGAGTGAGGAACACCCAGACATGAACCTACTCCCCTCTCTCTCTTTCCCATGCTCTCTCTAGGTCACTGTCAGGTGCACCAGGCCCCAGCCAACGTCCTCCCAATGCTCAGAGGAATTCAGCCACAGAGTGGTCAGCACTGATAAAGAGACAACCTCACAGCAGAGGCCTCACAGAAGCATCAATCCTTTGGACCATCTGTGCACACAGATATCCCTATTTCTATTGCTCCTCAGCAAGCATAAAAACTCAACAGGAAATCTGTGCATGGAGGAGCAGACAAGAGCTGCCCCATTTCTTCCCAGCCCTGCCCATGCCACATTCCTGGAGAAAGGTTCTAGAATGCATGCTCTATCTTTGGGGTGCCTCCTGGGCCAGTGCTGTGGCCTTTGCCATGAGATAGATTCTGGGTGTCTCCTCCACCCACCTCCCAAAGGAGTACAAATCAAGTTAGTCCCCTAATAATTTGAGCTGGGTCACAACTCCCATGCTTTGGGGGACTCTAAACCACCTCCTGCACCCCACCTGCTGAGAATGGCTCCCCCCAAATGCTTAGCACGAGAACCGCAGGCGGGAGCCTCCTTCCTGCATTTCTTTCCCACTCCCTCCTCGATTCTCTCCTGCCGACCTCTACTGAGTGTCCCCTGGCTCCAGGCACCAGCCTTCCTCTGTATATCGCTCAGCCGTGTGGACGTGGCAGGACAGCCTCACTCTTCCTGTTCTCTCTTTCTGAGCTTCCCTGGAGCATCACAGCTCTGCCCTCTTCTCCATGCTCCCGGAGAGGCACAGACTTGACCTTGGCAGCCTCTCCGTGGTTTCCTGTCCATAAGGCAGCAGTGCCTCTCAGACCTGAGTGCTACTCTCGCAGCAGTCTACCCTTCAAGTGAAATATCTCCCTCTGCATAGACACCTTTGTTTTCTGGGGAGATGAATCTCCCAAAATTAAGAATTAACTCTGGGGAATGTGCATGCTGTGATGTGTTTTTATTCTTGACACTCCCTCTTGTCTCCCCTCAGTTTCCCCCTTACTACCTGTGTGATAAACCAGCATCCCCGAAGGGTCTTCCTGCCCCTCCCCTTAATGGTGGGCTTCTTAATGGAGTTTCAAACCAATGAACAATTAGTTGCCTGAAAGCCCAGCTGACTGGAGGAGGGTGACCTTTGAGAATTTCTCTTTCCATTTCACCTGCTGAGCACCCCACTCTCTGCAGGACCTTGTTCAGCTGGCTCACCCCCCACTCTCTCCATGGAGCACCTACCACTCTCTCCAGGGTCTTGCTCAGCTGGTTCACCCTCACGTGCAGTCCAGACAGCTCTCTGAACATGTTGCTCAGCTCCTCGCAAGAGTGTGTGCACACCTCCGGCCTCTTCTCCACGCCATGGCCCAGGAAGTCCGTGGTGATGTGAGGGCTGAGGTGGAGCGTCTCTGTGTGCTCATTGATGGCATTGAGCTCAGCTAAGGGGAAGACAACAAAGTCAGCAGGGCCCTGACCCCTGCAGCACCCCACCTGCAGACAGATGCCTGCACCAGGCTCCAGATTGCTCACACAGTTTCTGAGGTACTGAATTGTACACAAGAACAAGAGGCAGCTGATTCTAACTCACTGGCTAACAAAGGGATTCTCTCCTTTCATAACACTGTCCTTAACATTTAAAGGTCCAGGGAAAGAACAGAGTTCCAGCTCAGGAAGAGAGAAATGCAGAGAGACCCACACATTTGTACGTGAAAATTCTGGGTCACATGTATCGGTCACACTGAGCTGGGGACATTTCCCCAGCTCTTCGATGTGGATCACACCAATAGTTGCATTTCTTATCCTTACCCCACCATTGTCCATTCTCCCACCACATACCCCATACATTTTCAGCCCCCCTCTCAACTCTTCCTATGCCCCCTTTTCTTCCTGAACACCTTTCCTTGGGTTCCTCCTCTTCCCCTTGCCTTCAGGCATAGCTTGCAGATTGAGTTCTTCCCCAAAGGGAAGATGGATGGACAACCCTCAGCATCCTGGCTGACCATGGGGACTCTGCCTCTTACCACCCCAGAAACTGTGCAAACCACTGAATGCCCTGATTCCCATGCCATGTGTAGGTGGAATTCATAATTTACGAGTTGACTGGGAGGCCAAGTCCAGCCATGGAGTCACTGGAGCCAGGGGCTCGGAGATGGGCCAATGTCATCCGTTTGCATCCTGGCTCCAGCTCTCTCTCTGGGGTGGGGGGGAGACTGTCACATATCAGTCATTCTTTGTTCCGCTCAGACATCCTGTTGCTGAGTTGTGCAGGCTACAGTCCTGCTAAGAACTTCTGCATGGTAGGTTAGGAACCTCCTCTTAGATTCATTACACCTCTAATCATAAAAGCCATGCAAATGGGAAGGTATCATGACTAAGTAGATAGAGGAGACGCTGTCTTAAGTAGATTCTGAGTGGATTTTACTGCACATTTAATTCTTTTCAAAACCTTTCACTTGTCCAAGGTTTTATTTTTCATTCGTTTATAGTTTAGCAAAAAGTAGCCTATATCTTTGTTTATACTCTGCCTCTGTCATAAATCGGTTTAACCTAGTGGTAGGAAAATTTCCCAAACAGCATCTCCCATGACAGCACCAATATTTTCACTTGTGAAATTTCATGGCTTGGCCCCTTCTCTGTGCTCATCTCATTTTTGAGAAACACCAAAAATAGAAATGCCAATTGCCAAGGGCTGAGTCCCGTGCTAGCTATCTCTATGAGACCAGATGTCCTTAAGTTCCACATAACCAGGTTGGTGAAATTAAGTCTTTGCTGGTAAAGATCTGACAGCCCTGGTGCCTCGACTGAACCAACTCACGGTTTGCCCCTTGCATATGGGTGTGAGAATATAAATCCACAAATCCATACTTCGTTGCCAGCTTGAGGGGAACAGACTTCTTAAAAACAAGCCCTTATAAGAAGTATAAAGCTTCAGCAATTGTAAAGCATTTGCTTTTGGTTGTTGCTTAGAAGCTGCGTGTCTGTATCAGGAACAAGTGAGGACCTTTGTTCACATAAGGCCGTGGACTGCGTTTGTCGTGGAAGGTGATTTTATTCTCGGCCATCACAACTGACTTGTAGTCATGGCTCAGGAGATTTTGTGATGGGGACACTGCTGGCTCAGGGTACACACTACCATCTAAGAACAATATTTGTGTATCCCACACGCATTCTCTCCCTGCCTGCTGTTCTACAGACCCCAAATGAGGGCGAATGGCCCTAGACTGAGATTCCCATGTGGTCAGCCAACAGGAGCACCCATGTTCCTAATGTGACTAAAAAGATGGCTCTGAAAATAGGGAAAATAAAGTTTCACGAACATCAGGTGCTGTCTTATCAAGGATGGTCTTCACACAGTCCCAGAAAATCTGCCTACCTTTATCCTCAGAGTGAAATGCCAGCAATTTGTTTTTGGCTTGTATAATGGATTTTTTTATTATTCAAATCTAGTCTAAGTTAATCCTTGGATAATTCATCATTTTCAGATGTCACCATGTCTACCCTGACCAGCAAATTCACCCACAGACAACAGCAGCACTTACTCCTAGTGTTTACTTAAATCCCCCAGGGCAATGCACGTACACAACAAACATGTATGAGTGCACACACACAACACGTGGTTTAGAGGAAACCCAGCCAGGTCAGAGAAAGGCAAAGGTATATTGGTGGCACACCCACCTCCCTGGCCCTGCTGACAGCCTTTCTTGCTTAGGACATCTTCCACCGAGTTTTCAAACACCAAGTGGACATTCTGCAGCAAGCCCTGTGAGAAGACACAAAGAGTTTGATACAAAGCAAAACAAGATGCTAAATGCAGAACAGGATCTTCCCATAGAATATTTTCTCCTGTTTTAAACATGGCTGGTTTGAAATCTCTTTAAAATCAGATTTCCTGTGTCTGTTACTTTGGAAAATTACTTTTTAGACATGACATGAGTTCAACATGAAAAACTTGCTAACTAGAAAAGAAAATGCCCTTGAGAGAAGAAGGAAGGCAGCCAGGGAGGTGATGGGTTTTGTACTCTGCCCACAGAGACATGCTAGGCCTGTCCTTGCAGGGTGACCCTGGGTGTGGTTAAGGGCTCAGAAACAACCCTGTTCCAGTGAAGAAAGACTCTGGATCTCAAAGAAAGCCCTTCACTCATGGGGAGCCCTCCTGCCATGCAATGGGGTCAATCACAGATCCCACCCACCATGAAAGATGCACTCACTAACACAGCTGGCATCTCCCAGCCTTGTACTCAAACAGCTGAGTTTTAACATGCTTATTTTCAAGACAATGTGTGTGCCTGGGAGACAGGAATATACAAATGTCCCTCGACCTACCATAGTATGACGTACGATAAACTCATCACAAGTTACAAATATCACAAGGTGACAGTGAATTTAGCTCCCTTCTCCCTGCTCAGCACCATGACAGAGGATTCCAGGTACAGGGACAGGTCGGAAAAGATCAACATTCAAAGTCATGCTTTCCACCAAATGCATGACCGTCTCACCATCATAGGAGGAAGAACCCAGGGGCGCCATCGTGAGCCAGGGGTGTGTGCACAGACTCCTCACTTCAGGTTCTAAATGTTCTCAATTTTAGAAGCTCTGTCCCCATCTTACTTAGCTAGGATGGACATGAGCTATTCTCTCACCCACCTGCAGCTCCTCTTTAGGAAAGAGCTTCAGTGCGCTCTCCTACCATTCCTCACCAAAGCAAAGACCCAGGAGTGGCTGCAGTCCAAGTAAAATGATTCCAGATTGCCAGGAAGGGGTCTGACTCCTGGACCCTCAGACTGGTCCTGTGACCACAGCTCTGCTTCTCATGGCTCAGGAGCATGTGCGTTGTGTGCGTGCACAGAGAGTTGATTGATTTCGTGTTAGGAAGTTCTGTGCCTCTGTGTACACTATGTGAATGTGTGCATAGGAACTTGTGTGCACAGGGGTGTGGTGTGTGCAAAGCAGTTATATGCGGTGCTTGTACATGTGCATGCTGGGTGGTTCTATGTGTCTGCGTGGTGTTTGTGTGTGCAAGTGTGAGTGTGCATTATGGTGTGTGCAAAAGCATGAACAAGTGCATGGCTATGCATGGCTATGCATCTGTGATGTGTACTTTGTGTATACCTGTGTGTGGTGTGTATACACATGTGTGGGTGTGCATTGCAGTTTATGCACGTGCATGTGTGGTGTGCATGACTGTGTGCATACACGTGTGTGAAAGTGCACATAGGCGTGAGGGTGTGCGTGTGGTGCATGTGAATGTGGGTGCCTGCATGTGGTGTGATTGCATGTGTGTGAATGTGTGTGCACATGCATGGTGTTTGTATGCACCTGTGTGACTGTAGCCTGTGCTGCACCATGGTGAGACTTTGCCTGCTCCAACACAGAAGCTGCCCTGAGATGCCCTCTCCTGCAGGCTCCCGGCCAAGCTCTGCCCTCACCCGATCACGGCTGTGCATACGCACCCTGAAGTGACTCTCTCTGGTAGCACCTTTGGCCACGTACATCCTGCTCCTGTCGGCTGTCAGCTGCTCATAGAAGGGCTCATCCAGGGTGAAGCTGTCAATGAGGTCGCAGCCCACATACAGGCTGTAGGTCTCACCGGCCACCTGCACAGTGACGTTCTTCCACTGGGAGTCAGCCAGGCCCACATCCTCCAGGGAGATGGCATGCTGGGTGCCCTCCACCCAGTAGGTGAGGTCCAGGGTGTCCCTGGGGCCGTTGGAGACAATCTCAAATTGCCGCTGGGAGGGGCCAGGGCCTTCCAGTGCCAGTAGTGTGCCCCGTGACTTGCGGTCCTGCTTCAACTGCACCATGAAGAAGAAGCCATCCTTGTGCTGCATGACCTTGATGATCCTGTTGAGGTCATTTGTGTTCACCGGGGGATGTAGTCAAGCGGACAAACCGGTAAGCGGGCACCCCGGGGTCGGGCCCCCGGAACTGTTTGGCACCAATGGTCTTCCTGTTAATGTTGCTGATACTGAATAGATCGAAGGAAGTGTCTTCATCCTGGTCACCAGCTGCCAAGGGGAGCCACAGGGGACAGGTCAATCACAGCAGGGGCCAGGCTCACCAGGACTCAAGCTGATGAGCCCCAAGCCCAGGACACAGGAAGCTCCCTAGGACACCCAGTACCTGGCCATGTCTGTCTTGGACAAGAACATTGAGCCTATGTCTGTTGGAACCCCCAAACCCCACCCAGCTGCCCCAAGCATGGTTCCCACACAGCACAGCTTTGCTTTCTCCTGGGCTGGGAAGGACCACGTGCCAGAGGTGGATCGACTGTCCCCAGCACACATCTGAGCACAGCCCTCTCCACAGCATGACTTCCTTGCTGAAGAAAGCCTCACCTCCACTGACCCCTGCCCCGTCCACATCTTCCTCCACAGCAGAACTCTGAGCCTCCTGCTCTGCAGCTGAGGTGGGGGAAGCCCTCCCCTCTCTACCATGGGAGGGCACAGAAAAGAGGGGGATCTTTGGCTTTGCAATGGAGTTTCAGATAGCAACTAAATTCCATGTTGCTCTCTTGCTGGGCTATTCAGCTTTAAACAATTTAGCCAGCATCTTTTTATTTTTATGAAAATGTGCTCTCCAAATCAAATGCACACTACGGATACGGATTTGAAATTGTGACCAGTCTTTGGTCTACAAGTGAAAGGTTTCAAGTCACTATCCAACTATTGAAAGGAAGATGTCGGTTCTTGCCCAAACGTAAAAGTTTCAATAGTCCAAAATAACACACCGAAAAGAAAGTTTAAACGGAGCAGACTTCGCCTGAAACTCAGTGCATTAAAACATTGTAATGCCCACTGTTGCTCACAAAAGAGTGAATTTTACCACTTATGGTAGAAGTATTGACAACAGTATATAGCAAAAATAATTAAAACTTTGACTATTGCTACTAAAAGTAGCAAATCTAGTTTCATAACTTATTCAAAGACTCTCCAATGCTAGCAAAGATTTATTCACAACAGTGGTCTTCATGTCATCGTTTATATATACTGGTAAAAATAAGGTAAGTCTTAAGAAGAGTCAGTCCAAAAACACTAGGGTTTATCTGCAATGGAATACTACACAGACATTAAAATTGGGTTGGAAGAAGACAATGCATGGCACAGTAGCTCCTACAAGTACCTGAAGCAGGAAGTGGAAAGAAGAAACGCCGAGCACCCGACCGTGGGTGTTCTAAGAGCAGCCTGCAGAGAAAGGCTGACTTGTGCCTGGTACAATGCTGCAGCCGTGGGGTATTTTTTCTCTAATACTAACATGTTCCAAAAATCAACCATCCCATGTTATAGGGACTCAAGAGTACATAAACATTTTATTTGCAAACGAGTTGAGAAGACTCCACCGTCAGATTCTCTGCCATGGCCTGCGGCTAAGCCACGCCCTCCTCGTCACTGACCATGCTTGTCCACACTCACCATGAGCACTGGGCCACATGCACACAGCCAGCAGGACCAGCCTCCAGAGCATCCTGCCTCCTGCCGTGACTCCTAGGAGGAAAACAGCCCTTGTTAATGAGGAACACACAGCTGCAGTTCTGAGCGTCGGCTGGAATGTGCACTCGTGATCTTTCACAAGCACTTTGCACATGACAATCAGAAGCAAAGGCACTTGTGGGAAGGTGAACGCTAGACGAGAGGCTTTCCTTGCACACGAGGGTGAGCTCGCGTTCACCAGGCCGGCATTCCTTGACAAGCACTGTGTGTGAGACGTTCTGAACACTCCTGATCCTCAGCCCCAATAACCACCTGGGGGGAACACGGCTGCAATCACGCCCACTTTGCAGAGAAGCAAGTGGAGGACAGGCCAGGGCAGCTGCTCTCTCTGAGTAATTCTGTTAATAAGACATGTAGCCAGGGCTTAACTCCAGGAAGGTCGGTTCCAGGAAAACATCAGCCTGGAGAAAATAATCTGTGAAGACATTTTGTGTAAATATCCAAGAAAAGAAACAGTTGTGAATAACTTAATTAAATAGTCAATATTCACAGCATTTTAACGCTGAAATGAACTTAACTTGGTGCATCACTCTTATGTAAAACAGATTTACTTAGCAAAGATTCTTACCCTACTTTTCTATTTTCCTGAAGGCTGTTTTTCCATTCTCTGGGATTCTAAGTTGGCATGGAGCACCCGAGACTGGACCAGAAGTCAGGAGACCTGGACGAAAGCCTGGCTCCACTGTTAACTCCTTGTGGCCTCCACCAGCCCTTCTGTTCTCAGCTCCTTGCCCCCTGTGAGTGGTGGGGTGATGGCACCCAGACCCCTTCACTACCCAGAGCAGTGCTCACAGCCTGAGCTAAGGGGAGCTAAGACTTACACCCCAAATCCTCTCCTGTTTAGATTATCAAAGCCACTTCACTTCTCATTGTTAAAGAAATCCAGCCAGTCTCCTTCTCCAGAGATATTTGACAGCTGCAAAGTTACCTTCCGGGGACAAGAGAGCTTCCCCAGAGGACAATGATGCCTGACAGGATCTCTGCACACAGTGCTCCCCGTGGTTCATGTCGTGGGAAGTGGGATAGCATCCCAGCCACACTACAGCCCTGAACTATCCCTCAGCTCAGTTGGGCACCAGCTGTGCCACCTGGGCAACTTATTTACCCTCTCTGACTCAGTTTCCTCATCTGTAGATCAAAAGCATCTGCCTGGCTGGGTTGTTTTGAAGATACACTAAGCAAACAAGTGTCCCGCCAGCCTTTGTAGCCTAGCAAGGGTGCTGGCATTGGCTTGTGGGCTATACACACCTGAGGGCTGGAGTGAGCCTGCCACCACCTTCCAAGGTGGTGGGGTAAGTTCCCAGAGGATTAAATCCTATGGGCAGACCCCTGTGGTGTATGCAGAGCAATACATGTGAACAGTGAGTGCCTCAGGGAGAATTTATAGTGCCACTGGGTCCACATCTGAAGGTACCTCCCTGTCACCCATCCCTGACCAGGCGCCTGCTGCTGGACACCTGTCTCTTATACACAGCTGCATCATGGCTAGCTCTACAAAGGCGAGCTGCATCCAGAAACATGGATTTCACAACACAGGACGCCCAGCTGTGCAAGAACAGGCTTAAGCCGAGCAGACTGGACTTCTTTTGGGCAAAGTCAACCCAACAGTAGTAGTACCACAAAGCATCAAGGCCTGCCATTTGTTAAATTACAGTCCCATCTCATGTAGTGGACTTGCCACACCAAAACATAGAGGGAAAGGGTCAGGCATGGCTGGCCCCTGTGCGGTCACCCCATGGTCCAGTGCTGCCAGACAATGCAATTGCATGAGTTCCATGGGCAAACCCCTTCTTACCCCAAGCCGCTTTCTTCCTTAGGTCCACACTAGGGAATCTATGATTAGATTTTTTTCTGAAATAAAGATGTCCAAAGTCTTTCTGCAGTGGAGTATCATTGAAATTTATGAAGGACATACAAAATTCTTTTATATGAGCTATCAAATGAAAAATAGCTTTGCTGGGAGTTATTTCTGTACCTCCATCAGGGGCAGTGTGATCAAGCATGACCTCTCTTAGTAGACATCAGCCTTCCTCTCCTGCTGGCCACCAGACCACTGTTCTTTAGCTGTCCTGCAAGCTGCCAGCTCCTTTCATATGCAAAGTGTCCCCAAAGTTCAAAAACAACTGTGTACCCTGGCAGTGTGGACCTTCCCACAGACTGACTGTAAACGACTAGCAATATCCCCACACTGGTCAGCTCTTAATAACGTGAGAAGTTAGAATCTCTGTCATCCTGGATTATTGTCATATGCAGGGGATTGTTTGCAACTCCTTCTTCATGGTCCTCCCTCAGTAACAAACTTCAGCCTGGAAACTTCTTATTCTGAAGATGTTTGCCTAGCATCCTGGGCAAGTACAAGATTAAAAACCAGCAAGAACCCAGGCAGGGAGCCGGGGCTGAGGCTCCAGCAAAAACACTGTAAACTAATTAAGTGAGACTAGCAGGTGGTGAGAGCCTCTGTGGGTTAGGCACGGTGGATCTGCACTGCACACTTTCCTGATGGAGATCCAGAGCCTTTTCTGAAAACGACAGCCCAGCAAATCGACTCAGTAAATAAGAAGTACACGTTACCTGCTGTTTTGGAAAGCCCAGCGTTGACTGTCTGTGTTCCAACCCAGGCCCAGAGAGGACGAGGAGATGTTGCTGGAGTGGAGACCCAGGCCAGGGCAGAACGCTGCTGGCCGCCGGACGCGTGCTCTGCCTCCAGGCAGCAGCCGGCTCCTTTATATGCTCCTTTCCCTGAGTGGCCCTGTCAATCAGACTTGTGAGGAGGCACGTTTAATTCATTCCTTCGAAGGAATGACATAATTCCTCCTTCTGGGCCCACCATTTGCTCTGGGTACCTGGTGTCTAAGTCCAAGTCCAGCCTCCTCTATGCTGGATGCCGCCCTCTTTTGCGTCCACCCGGGGCTTGCCAGACAGGGTCGGGGAGGAGCCAGACAGAGAGGGGAAGGCAGGGACTCACTTTTCCTGTCTTCTCTCAGGAAATAAAATGCTATAAATAAAACTAGCAAGATTGGCTGAAACTCCCCATTTTGCTTAAGAGAAAAATATGCAAGTTTTATGCTTTAAATATGTTTCAAATTATCCGATGCAATACTGGTCCTTCTAAATTCAGTAAACAGCAATCAGTAAGACACAAAAGAGGTCAGTGGGTGTAAATGACTAGTCTCGGCACTGCTGAAGTTCTTATAGTGAAAGAATCAATTTTGTCATGGATAAAAAATTTTACTGTGAAACAGTCCACAGACGTTATTTCCGACACTTGGAACACAGAGATAAGTGCTTCTCAGAGGAAGAACTGATCATCTACGCCTCGTCTATTCACTCAGCAGGAGCCTACGCAACAGTGTCTCTCTGTGGGTGCTGATGCCCTGTCCAGTCCACCTGGGACATACTTCCCCAGGGGCTGCAAGAACCTGGGATCACATGCAAAATTCTCAGCCACAGGGAGGCCTGTGTAATATGCAGTCAGGAACAAGAACACGAAAGTAAGGACAGAAGACACATGCTTTCCCCCCAGCTCACATTACTCAGGTCAGAATGGACAGGCTATGGACACAGGAGGCATAGGGCCATCAATGAGGGTGGACCAAGGAGGAGAAGGAAGGTCCTCACTGGGGGCTGGGGGGAGGCGAGTAGTGGATAGAGCAGGGGAGGACCATTGGCCAAGGTGTGCAGAGGAGGAGTGACATATCCCAGAGCCCCTGCACAGGCTTCATTCATTGCAGACTGTACCTGGGGTGGCTGGGCGTTTAGTCTGGGTTGATGCATGATGGTGAACTTTAGAGAGAAAATGCATGAGGACCACTTAGTGACCTTTTGGTCTTGGTCCTGGCATTCACTGACCTGAACCCTGTGAGGTGGAGGCCGCAAGAGGCAGGGAGGCAGAGGCACCACCCCAGGAGAAGACCCTGCTACTCTTCAATGTCTTGTGGGATGTCAGTAAGGAACTGGTGGGGGGGAACGAGAGGGAAGCCTGCAATTTTCTTTTTTCTGTTTTTCATTTGTTTTGGTTTTTTGTTTGCTTGTTCATTTTCTTACGGATGCTGTTTTTATCACTCATAAACAATATCAATTTCTGACATGCAGTTAGAAAGGAGAATAGACTCAAACAGCACATCTCTCTTCTTTAAGGAGAGATATTTTGCTTTAGGTCACCTAGTTGATGACAAGGGCATCACTTGGATTAAAATATCCTGACTCAAATTTGTATGAATAAATGCTTGTCACCTCAAATTCTGAAGAGAATTGCATAACAGTTCACTGAGGAAGTTTCAGAGTGTAATTGCCAGTTTACTGTGCACAGACTGGCCTTTCCTGTGGCCAAATGGTGTGGGTTTGGCCCCTGCTCCTCATGCCAACAGCAGGAGGAGCACACACTCCCTCACTTCTCCCCTCCCTCACGAGCTCACTGAGCCCCAAATCCTGCAGCTGCTGACAGCTCCAGGAACAAGAGGAGAGGACAGGGTTCTGGGGAGGAAGGGAGCCGTGCACCGTGGTCCTTTACACTCTGGCATGCAGGTGGCCAATGGGGCTCCCAGTGTACAGAGAAGAGAGTTCTGTGAGGACACTTGGGAAGGCTTCATGGGGCTGCTGATGATGTGTAGTGATTGGGTGGGACATCCAAGGAGCCAGAGACATCCAGGCAGAGACAAGGTGTGGAACCAATGGTGTAAAGAGGACCACGACCTTCTAGGACTGAGGGAGTGAGAGTCCAGATGTGGCTGGAGATGAGTCCAGCCACAGCCTTGGGAACATCCCCTGGCAGGAATTCACAGACCTGTGATGCTGACTCCATGGCCCCACTGTGACATGGTAGGGAGACTCCTGGACGCCTTTTCCCTTGGGACCTCGGAGAAAGGACAAGAGGGGACATAATGACAAAACCACCCAGCCTGTGGAGACTCGGCTGGAATGTCACGTGGGAGCAGGGATGTGCGTAGGTCTGTGGGAAGAGAGAAAGGAGTCCTGGATCTGTTGGTTGGGTTGAGTGTTCCAAGGACCTCATGTCTCCTGGAACCTATGAGTGTACACTTGCTAGAAAGAGGTTGTTCACACAGGAGATGGAGTTGAGATGAGGAAATACTGGAGAAGGTCAGCCCTCACCTAATGACTGGTGTTCTTATTAGAAGAGGGACCCAGCAACAGGAATGAGATGGATGGAAGCAACCCACCTCTCCCTAGGCCACTGGGTGGGAGTGAAGCACTGTCCAGCATTGCTGAATACTGTTCAGTACTGCTGAATGCTGGTGGAATTGCTGGTTCTATGTTGTGCTTTCCTCAGTTCTTTGTTGCAAACACCCTATAAATGTTTTCTATGAATGATTGAAACTGTCAGGACACTTGACAGGCCTTTCCTTGTGCCTGGCAGCCTTGTACAGGGAGCTGTCAGCCAAGAAGATTTACTGACAACCAGCTGAACAGCTCTCAAGGCACTCCATCACTTTGCACACGTCACCATCACTCTGAGGACAATTCAGCACCTGCAGACCTCAGCTGAAGACATGCTCCAGTTATGACCACTCCAGACAGGCTGCACCAGCCTTGGACACCAGCACTCTAAGAAAAACACACCTCAGTCAACTCTAGATGAACCTGCAGCAATTCTCACCAGGCCAGAGGGGGAGCCTTTCCTCTGGTGGCCCAGAAGCAGGCCTGTGACTGATGCTGTCTCTGCCATGATTGGTGCACACAGCCTGGCCACATTGCCTTTCTGGCTGCATAAGCAAGCTTCTTGGCTCACTTCCTGTCAGCCAGGAGACACTCTCCTGCACTGCTAAATGGTCTTGTCTTTCCTACTTTGATTTTAATCCTAAGTAGAATAGACTGAGCTGGAGAGCAGCCTGGGGCAGAGAGAGAGGAGAGCAGAGGCAGTGGGAGCAACAGGACAGCAGAAGCACAGAGAAGACTGTGAAGAGCCAAGGTGTGGGGCTGCCGGCTCCAGAAGCAGGAAATGTTCTAGGGAACTGCAAGGCCTGAGGGCCAAGGGTCCTGACATGCAAAGCCCATGAGCTAAACCTCTTGAGCTGAGGGTCTCAGCATCCAAAGTTTGGGTGCTGTGACACTAGCCACTGTTAAGGGCCAAGGGTCCCAGCATCCAAGCCTCAGGAGCTGTGACCGTAGCTGGCACTGACTGCTGAGATTGCTAAAACCCAAGGACTACACTACTCCAAGTGCTAGGATGATGGCACTCAAAGGCCAGTGCAATAGGCTTCCAACCTGAACACCTAGGGCAGTAAGTCTCTGGTTTGTAGAGCCTGGAAACGTAGCCTGTAGTTTTCAGGACTTGGAGCTATAAGCCTCTGAGTCTGTCAGCCCAGTCTGCTAGCCTTGGGCACTCCAGAGCCCAGGTCTTCAACAGTAGACAGCTACTCGTCACCCACTTATAATTTCTGAGTAGAGCAAGAGGACCCAGTCAGCTGCTTGGAGCACCTTGTGGTGCAGCAGGTGAAGACTGGAGTGGTACTTATGCAGACCAAGGATCACCAGGGGCTGCCAGCAGCACTACAGCCCACAATAGATGGATCCTCCCCAGAGCCTTTGGAGAGGGCCTGGCCCTGCTACACCAGGATTTTAGACTCCTGGCCCTCAGAACTGTGGGATAATGAATTTATGTTGTTTTAAGCCTCCTGGTTTTTGGTGCTTCATTGTGGCAGCCCCAGGAAATTGAGGCAGACAATTCCTGAACCTCAGTATTGCTGATGTCACTTTAACACCAGTCATACAATCCCCCAGCGGAGTATACATCCTACTAACACACATTGTCTAGTCCAGCCCCAAGGGAGGAGCGGGGTGGTCTGCGATGGTGACATACCAGGAGGGGGGTCAGGAGAGTGACTGGAGAGGACTTGCAGGACCCTAAGTAGCTGCGCTATCCTGAGGCCAGGACTGAGGCTCACGCTAACACGGGAGGGACAGCTAAGGCATGGGGTCATGGTGCAAGGATTCTTGGCAGGCTATCAGATGAGCCTAAGTGATCCATCCAAATCGCTCCCACACCAGGGCTGGAGGTCAAGCAGTCTGATCTCCACCAGGAGCACCAGCTGTGAGCAATAATTCTGTACCTGGAAGCCAAGTGCCTGCGCCTGACAGGATGGTGAACTGCGGGGAGCAAGAGCAAAGGGGTCTAGGCAGGTGGTGACCGGGTGATGTTCCAAGTGCCAGAAGTGCTCTGGTGGTTTGGATCTAGAATACACTCAGGCCTGCCTTAAGGGCATAACTTAGGCACCACCTGAATAACAAAGGGTCCTGAGGCCTGCAGAGATGACACACAGGAGGGAAGAGAAAGAAAGGAGGAAAAGGGAGCTTCAGACCATCTGTGTGTGTCACAAAGCCCAGGAGGGCTGCTTTGGGACCCAAGGTCAAAGCTGATCCAGCATCAACACCTTGCAAATGGACTTTCCCAGCTACTAGATCAGAGTTAGGGCAGCTTGGGACTTTCAAGTCTAAACCTTGGAAATAAAGGTTTTTGCCATGAAGAGGAAAAACAAAGCATCCAGGAAGCTGATTACATGGGGTGAGATGAAAAATCCTTGCTAGCTTCAAATGCCAAGTCCCCTAGGAGTCCTGGGCAGAAGATGGGGCACATGGGGCAGGGCCCCGTCAGGGCATCCAGAGTGATGACGACATGGTCCTGTGCTCACACTTAGTTCTAGACACAGGATGAAGAGAGATGTGGCTGTTGGTACAGGAGGGTGGGGTACAGGCA